AGAGGAGAAGGTGAGACATACACACATGCACGCACGCACGCACACACACACACGCACGCACGCACGCACACACACGCACGCACGCACGCACACACACACACACACACACCAATAAAAACTTTCCATTTTGAATATATGACCCCTATTATTATTTAAGATTTTTGTATAGATAACTACTTCAAATTCAGGGAGAAGTAATATAGTTAAATTTACCACAATCATATAGCCCCTTTGAAAGTAATATTGTATTAGTATTTTTGACAAAAATCAATTGGTTACAGAATAATTGGAAAAATTTTGATTGGTGGATCCTGACAATTCCGACTTAAGTATAATTTTTCATTGCGTTCAAAACGTGTATGTACATGCGGCGTCACACGAAGCAGGAAGAAACTTCTTCTGAAAACTGAAGCAGTAACAGAGTGCCCAATCGATAGTGGATCTCAGAAAGTCAAGCATCCCACCAGCCGATATGGCTTTACCGCCTCCCAGATTCGATTACAGACCAATGCCGCCTAGAATGCCGCCGCCGATGAACCCGCTATTTAGCGGTCCCGGGTCGATGAGACAGAGCTTGTCACCGCGACTACAAAACGGTATTCAGCAACCCAATCTACCATTCTTGCGACCCAGAACACGTGGGATAGTACCTGTTATCATGCCGCCTTTGGTACCTTGTGGCGTTAGAATACCACGGCCCTTAATTATACGTCACTATCACAAAAGGATATCGCCACCGCAGATGATATCACCCGTGAGATCTAAATTTGTGGCTGATAATGATAACGGCAAGGGCAAGGCGATGACCAACACGAAGATCAATAAACTTCAAGTAAGTACTCGTATTCACTCCATTAATTATGCTTGCACGTACGCGTAGTTAACTGTTTTTTTATTAAAAGTTATTTTTTTCGTCTTTAAGTTGTGAAATATTTTTTAATTGCAAATAATCTCTAATGAAAGTCTTAAGAATTTAGCATATGATTTGCTGATTATCACTATGTATTTAGAGTATACTATACATAGGCTGGTATTCATAGTCAGATCTTATATTTAAAATCATCTTAAGTACTGTTTTAAGATGTCATGAACCAATCATAGAACCGTATTCGCAGTTATGTGAACCTGGCATCCGACTTTTGAAAAAATAATTTTTTTCTACGTAAAAAGTTAGCATTTTATTTGTAGTTGTTTGTAGTAACAATAATTTCGTTTGTAGTTCCATCTATTAAAAATTACAAAAATTAAAAAAAATGAGTAGCACCCCATTTTGAGATATCTCAAATCTCAAGCGGGTGACGTTTCTAAATCGTTTGTAGTTGTTTGTAGTGATTTTCGTACCGTTCAAAAGTTACAACAATTTAACAAATGCGTAAGAGCCAACTTTGCCATTTTTTGAGATATCTCAAATCTCAAGCGGGTGACGTTTCTAAATCGTTTGTAGTTGTTTGTAGTGATTTTCGTACCGTTCAAAAGTTACAACAATTTAACAAATGCGTAAGAGCCAACTTTGCCATTTTTTGAGATATCTCTTTTTTGAGATATCTCTAATCTGCAAGCGGGTGACGTTTCTAAATCGTTTGTAGTTGTTTGTAGTGATTTTCGTTTCGTTTGTAGTCGAACCGTTCAAAAGTTACAACAATTTAACAAAACGCGGAAGAGCCAACTTTGCCATTTTTTGAGATATCTCAAATCTGCAAGCGGGTGACGTTTCTAAATCGTTTGTAGTTGTTTGTAGTGATTTTCGTACCGTTCAAAAGTTACAACAATTTAACAAACGCGGAAGAGCCAACTTTGCCATTTTTTGAGATATCTCAAATCTGCAAGCGTTTCTAAATCATTTGTAGTTGTTTGTAGTGATTTTCGTTTCGTTTGTTGTCGAATCGTGCAAAAGTTATAACAATTTAACTAATGCGTAAGAACCAAACGGTTCGACTACAAACAAAACGAAAATTACTACAAACAATTACAAACGATTTAGAAACGTCACCCGCTTGCAGATTTGAGATATCTAAAAAAATGGCAAAGTTAGCCCTAAGATGTTTTGTTAAATTGTTGTAACTTTTGAACGGTTCGACTACAAACGAAACGAAAATCACTATAAACAAGTACAAACGATTTAGAAACGTCACCCGCTTGCAGATTTCAGATATCTCAAAAAATGGCAAAGTTGGCCTTTATGCGTTTTGTTAAATTGTTATAACTTTTGAACGGTACGACTACAAACGAAACGAAAATCACTACAAACAACTACAAATGATTTAGAAACGTCACCTGCTTGCAGATTTGAGATATCTCAAAATGGGGTGCTACTCATTTCTTTAAATGTTTGTAATTTTTAATATATGGAACTACAAACGAAATTATTGTTACTACAAACAACTACAAATGATTTAGAAACGTCACCTGCTTGCAGATTTGAGATATCTCAAAATGGGGTGCTACTCATTTCTTTAAATGTTTGTAATTTTTAATATATGGAACTACAAACGAAATTATTGTTACTACAAACAACTACAAATGATTTAGAAACGTCACCTGCTTGCAGATTTGAGATATCTCAAAATGGGGTGCTACTCATTTCTTTAAATGTTTGTAATTTTTAATATATGGAACTACAAACGAAATTATTGTTACTACAAACAACTACAAACAAAATGCTAACTTTTTACGTAGAAAAAAATTATTTTTTCAAAAGTGGGGTGCCAGGTTTACATAGCTCGTATTCGCATCTTAAGACATTACTTAAGACGTCTTGAAATAAGATTCGATTATGAATATCGGTCTTAGATTTATAAAATAGTAAAGATCCTTAATAAGAAGTGACTGATTGGAAATACTTTTAATCCTGATAACGACATTAGCTATTACACTGCTTATTAGACATTATAGATTTTTCAAACCTACTTAATTTAAAACTTTGAGTTTAGTTAAATAGTAACTTATTAATCTTTAGACTGCCGGGAGAGCCACTTTTGTGAGTTTGGGTTAAAATACTACTATTTTTAGTGGTATTTTAAATACTAAATATACTTTCCGGTGTCCACTTTGTGTTTGTTTGCGCTTCGCGCTTGTTTGCACTTACGTTGCCGAAACATATGCACTAATTGTAATGCTCCATTATGCATAACACCCTGCTTTGAAAATTATCATTTGAAAAAAATTGTATCATAATTACGGAAAAAAAGTACATAAAAAATCATAAAATATAAATATAAATATAAAATATAAAAAATATAAATATTGAAAAATATATAAAAAATTAAAAATATAAAAAATAAAAAATTATAAAACAAATAAAAAATACAAAAATTAAACATTAAAAAAATCAAATAAAAAAGACTGCATGAATCTATATGTTTACATTTATTTTTATTGTCAATGTTGCACTTAGGACTCGAAATTTCATAAATATATGCTCAGAATTGGAGTCTGCGATACAAGAAACCCCCAAATATACTATTTTTGAAAAAATAAAAATTTTTTATATTTGATCGTGTTGCCTACCAGCAAAGCTACTTTTGTGGCTCTACATAAATCTTAAAATTCTGCGCCATGAGAATGTGATTAAAAATCCTATAAATATCAACCTTAAAATTGTATTTTCATAGAAATTATAGAGGAGCAAAGAAAAATTTAAAAAGTGATTTTTTCCGAAAACAACTTAACAGATTTTGGTGAAAAAAATATATGTTCTGAACATCAATAAGATTATTAAAGAAAAAAATGAAGAAAAAATTCATTTTTTTCTTTAATAGTCTTATTGATGTTCAGAACATATATTTTTTTTCACCAAAATCTGTTAAGTCGTTTTCGGAAAAAATCACTTTTTAAATTTTTCTTTGCTCCTCCATAATTTCTACGAAAATACAATTTTAAGGTTGATATTTATAAGATTTTTAATCACATTCTCATGGCGCAGAATTTTAAGATTTATGTAGAGCCACAAAAGTAGCTTTGCTGGTAGGCAACACGATCAAATATAAAAAATTTTTATTTTTTCAAAAATAGTATATTTGGGGGTTTCTTGTATCGCAGACTCCAATTCTGAGCATATATTTATGAAATTTCGAGTTCTAAGTGCAACATTGACAATAAAAATAAATGTAAACATATAGATTCATGCAGTCTTTTTTGTTTGATTTTTTTAATGCTTAATTTTTGTATTTTTTGTTTGTTTTATAATTTTTTATATTTTTAATTTTTTATATATTTTTAATAAATACGAGTAAAAAATTATTTTCAATTTAAAAAAAATCTATTTTTTCCAAATTTTTCGTGGAGGTAGTTCATGGCGAAAAATGATGAAAATCATACAAGCTACGCAGCACTACTCTTTCACTACGTAGTACTACTCTTTTACTCTCTCTAGCCGCGAACATCGAAAGTCCTAGTCTAGTTTTGTTGTAGTCTTTTATGTTGTATTCCTGAATTATTTTACGACAAAGTTACAGAAAATTTATATTTTATTTTTATTTGTACATTTATTTTATGTACCTTTCCAAAATGTTAAGCTTTAGTGAAATTATGATTGCTATGACAATACGTGATAATAAAATGAAATAATTGAAAATCTATTTCGTAAAAAAACAGTTAAAAAGCAATTTTGACATTCTATTTATATAAAGTATTTAAATAAGTATCGCGTTAGAAATTAGTCTATAAAAATATGTTTCCATAATTCGCTTCGAGAAAATTTTGAACTTTATATCGGGGTGCTTTTTTTAATGTGAATTCCTTTGCCTCTCACAAAACGGGGTGCTTTTTTTAGGGTGAGTCTTCTCGCCTCTCACAAAATCGGGTATTCTTTATATGAGTCGAGGTTATTTTTTTAATCTTCGTTGCTGTCATTCTCAATTACTGGTATGTAATTATTTTTCTTGAGCACTTCTTTAGTATTTCCATTAGTTTGATAAATATCTAGCATGAGATAAATAATAAATCACTAAATCACAGCAGCATATGAGAACAACAACCAACAGTCCGTTTTCCATTGGCACATTCACATGTGTAATGTGTTAAGTTAGAAATACCATTACTGTTAGGTTCATATCTTAAAAAACATTTATATACTGCGAGAAATATAACGAAATGGAACTTTCAATTTAAGTACATTTGACTGATCTTTAACGTACTCAATTTTTAGTTTATTATCTTTGTCAACCAATTCTGCCAAATATGATATAGCTTGAGCGACTTGGTATAAATCAGTATGAATAAGATTTTTTAATCTTTTTCTATCATTTCTGGGAAATCTAAAATTTTTAAAATGTAACATTTTTAAAAGGTAGCTTTCGACGAAGCTAACCATTTTCTTCTACTTCAGCCAGAAGTGATTTTTTTTTATCTCATAACTCCTACATTATTTATCTCATAACTCCTACAAAAATACAATTTTAAGATCGATATTTGAAGAATTTTTTAGTCACATAGATGCCAATCTATAGGGCTAATCTAGATTTGATATATACGGGGACAATTTTTACATGCTTATTCCCGTAGATCCTTTGTTTAATCAATTGTAAGTATTACTTTATGGATATACAGGGTGTTCCGTAAGTCAAGGTCAATCGCTCGGGAGATGAAAGGGGAACCAAAAACAAGAAAGAAAGTTGATACAAACATAGCTCAAAAAATGCGTTGTTTTCGAGTTATCGCCATTTTTATGTTAAAATTTGAAATTACTTTGCCTTCGAATTTTTTTGTTAAAATTGAAACATAAGATGGTTTTTATAAGTTTCAAAACACAACTAAAGTCAAATAAAAGTTGCGGGCTGCTTTAGCATTACCCAGGATGCACCGCGTGGAGGTACCCAGCTTAGCATCTCTTGG